ATTCCAAGAGCAGAGACAAGAAGAAACCTTAAAAAAAACCCTAGCAAAACCACAATTCTTTCTGATAAGAAAAGGTATCCAGGCAAATTTAAAACATATCAACCAGTGAATGCCTGTATGTTGATGTGTGTGCTATTTGATTTGACTGATGTTTGGTTTACATAAATGTCTGTGTGGTTTGGTCAGGGCTGAATTTAGACTTAATGAGGCTCCCAAGCTATTTAAAGCCGTGTGGCTCTAAACTATTTAAAGCCCTGAGGCCCTACCATTTTAAAATACACCAGCTAATATCAGAAAAACGTTAAAATATATATGCCTTGTAAAAATATGGATATTGGAAATATACTTTCGCTTAAATGTTTTTATTAAATGTAATTATAAAGAATGCATTTGCAAAATCAGAGAAATTTTACTGAATAATGCTCTAAACCAGTGATTTCCAAACTGTATACCGCAAAATATTTGAAGATACACAAGTTTTTTTAAATATCTATTACACATGAATAGTTGTACTTTTACTTAGGTTAGGGCATGCCGGAACAATTTTAATTGTAAAAAGGGGCAGCGACAAAGAACATTTTCGGAAACACTGCTTTAAATGGTTCTAAGTTACAACTATTTAAACCCTTGCTTTCTCAGATACAACATCACTGATTTTTTCGTCCAAAATGATACTTTCTAACATATTTTGAGGTCCCTGAAGACTGACAGGCCGTAAGCTGTAGCTTATGCCTAAATTCAGAACAGGGTATGGTGTTATGCTAGTGGTGAGATAGTCTGTCCTTATTCTATAGTTACGCCTAAAGGGTGATGATAGACAAGACTAATAAAGACGTCCAAGGCTGACTGAATCCACTCAAACAAAAAGACAGCTACATTTAGATGAATTCTACTGCCTCTTTCTGGCACAAAACAACTGCAGCTTGCAGCGTGTTCAACTGTAATCATTGCATATCTGTGTCACCTTTAATATTTCAGTTCCTTGGCAAAATAAAAAAATTTAAAACATTAGGTTGATCACTGGTTAGGAAAAATCCTCCACTGAACTGGGATCACTGTCTTGGTAGGCAACAGCACTACTGACCAAACCAATTTTGTAGACACATTTTTAAACACATTTTGTTGTTGCTTTACACTGACAGTCATAAGAAACACTGGGGCATATAAAACCACTAAAACAAATTCACTATGCAGCTACATTTCCATGAATATTCTATTCTCTACTATCTCCAACTGGTAAAATACACATAAAATAATCGCAACAAGCAGCTTGTTGAGTTTCAATCACTATAAGTCTGAGTCAACTTGAATATTTCAGTTTTACTGAAAAATAATGTTTTTTCTTGCCAGCTCTACGCCACATTCCGTAGCCAACAGGTTTAGATTGGGAGGGGGAAGGAAGGAAAGGTGCCCAACCCCTTAGATTCTGGTGCTTCCATGCGTTGGTGTGTGGTAATTTGACTTATGTTTAGTTAAGTTGAGTTGAGTCAAAAATTGACATCGCAGCACTCAGGGCATTCCCATGCATGCTCCGTCCTCATCTTCACCAGCCTGAGCATAGTTCCAATACTGATGGTATCATGACCTGTTTAGTTAATATACGTTTATATGGGGGTTATGGTGCTATGTAAATGATGAGATACAAAGTCTGTCCTTATTCTATGGTTAAGTCTGTAGGGCAGAGCCATTTAGTTAAATTTACTCAGGGGCCAACAGTTTGAAAATTAAGATCGTTGAAAGCCACAAGCTAGTCCCCAATCATAGAGAGCTCATTAATACAATTATAAGTGGCAATGATCCCCGGGCAGCCAGTTGAATAGCCCTGCTGTAAGGTGATGATCTTCTAAAAGTATATGTCCTGTGGTGTTGGTAGTCATGTCTATCCACAACCCCCTGAGTCGTGTACTTCCAACCGTCTCTGACACAGATAATCTTCCATGCCATAGAATCAAACAGTCCAGCATCTTCTCTCTTGGTCTCCCTCTGCCTCATCTTTCCTACTGTGACGATGTACTCCAGTTTCCTCCTCCTCATAAAATGACCAAAGAATGTAGATTGTCACTTTCTGATGTAGGCAACCAGTTCTCTTCGTGAGTCAGTTTCTTTCAGTACATTTGCAATACTATTTATTATCTGTCCAGGGTATTCTTATCATCTGAGGGTGAAGATACACAAAGCTCTAAAAGACATATCTTTTTAGGAATATTGAACTGTCACCCTGAGACGAGATCTGACCAGGTAAGTAGCAGCACAAATTGAGGTCAGCAGTTCTATGCTTCCTTTTTTTTGGGGGCCTCTACCCTAATTTCTGACACCATTTTTATTCAAACTGGATTAAAAACCATACAGTGGTACTTCAGAATTCAAATATAATCTCTTAGAAGAAAGAAGAAGGACAAAAGCAATTCTACATGCTGAAAAAATGAAGAGAATGTTAAACCACCCATTACACGAAAAATTGGCAGCCAGGACAAAAAACAGAATAAAGCGCAAAAGCCTAAACCATCTAACGAAGGAATTTGGAAAGTCATTCTCTTCACTACTTAACCAACAATGTACACCTGAAGAGCTATCTTTCGATCTCTGGGACTCCAAATTATTGACACTCAATGTGTCAACATCCATCCCGAACCTGGGAAACAAAGATGCTGAGCCCGCTTTAGTGAAGAAAGCACTCACAATAGAACACCTCAACAACATGTTCCCACAGGACAGCTGGACAAGAATCTACACGGATGGATCAGCAAAAGAAGCAACTACGAATGGTGGGGCAGGTGTCTACATAAAACACCCAGATGCCACTACTGTGTCCCTAGCAGCCCCCACCGGACGTACTTGCTCTAACTACAAGGCAGAACTCTCAGCTCTATTGATGGCAGCACAGTATATGAACAATCTGCAAATCACCGCAGGCAGGATAGTTTTTCTCACTGACTCACTGTCAGCTATACAGGCCCTTGAGTCCAAACCTACCGACAGCACACTACAAAGTATAACACAGGAACTTGCTATGTTGTCAAATAAGGCAGAAATTCACTTGCAGTGGATTCCGTCTCACTGTGGCATCAAAGGCAATGAAAGCGCAGATGCTTTAGCCAAGGAAGGCAGTAACAAACTACAGACCTACCAGCCACTATCTTTTCCAGAAGTCAAAACTCTCATTAAGAGAAAATCAGAAACAGACTGGAAAAACAACACTGGTTATGACTACGGAAAAGATTTTCTGAGGCACTTGAACAGAACAGACCAAGTCACAGTTTTTCGCTTACGCACTGGACACTGCAGACTCAATAAACACTCATATAAATTAGGTATGAGCCAAACAGCTCTCTGCCAGTGTCTTCGTGCTGAACAGACTCCAGAACATGTCCTGCAAGACTGTCCTCTCCTGGCGGAGCTGCGGAGCGACATATGGCAACACCCAGTAGAACTGACAACTAAGCTTTGGGGAAACCTAAGAGACCTTGAAAAGACATCCCAGTTTATGACCCACAGTGGATTATGCGCATGACCAGAGATCGCTGAAGAAGAAGAAGAAATATAATCTGTTCCAAGACAGTGTTTGATTTCCAAGGAATTTTCCCACTGAAACAAATGGAAACTAAATAAACCTGTTTCAGGATCCAACAAACTCAAATTTTAAAATTAATTTTCCAAAATACAACACACTGTAAATATAGTAATACATGATAACCATATCTGAATGTAGACATAAATAATCACAAAATTAACAAAAACATTGTATTTAATGTAGCTTGATCAAAATGGTGACACAGCACACAGAAATAGGATGAGGAAGGATTCAGAAAGATTACTATTTGGAAGGTGAGTCATCTTCCACAATAACATCAGGAATCCTTGTTAGTGTTTCATCAGGAATCCTTGTTAGTTTTTCATTCATCAGGAATCCTTGTTAGTGCTTCATCAGGAATCCTTGTTAGTGTTTCATCAGGAACCCTTGTTAGTTTTTCATTCATCAGGAATCCTTGTTAGTGTTTCATATCGTAGTCGTTTCACCAGTTGTAAAGACTCTGGGGTCACTAGTTTTTGTTGACAGCCAGCTTTCCAAAGTTCTGTGTTGTTGGCGACCATTTTTAATTTGTCTCAAATGTTCGATAATGTTATCATTGCAGAAGTTAACACACCTGTTATATAGGGCTGTATCAGGGTGCCATCTCAACAACTTTTTGTGTTTTTTACCACACGGTAAAACAAATTTCAAATTTTAGCAGTGCTTATCCTTGCAGCTTCCCCCACTTTCTCTCCAGAAAAAATGTGTTTCTGAAATTACTTATTTCTGCTGCTGGCAAAGGTTATGAAGCTCTTGTGTTATCAGCTCCGTCGCTTGGTCAGCATGTGCCAGACATTCAGTTTCCAATGCAATAATTATCTGAACAATTTTGTTTAGATTTCATGTTGTTTGAGATATGAAGCGTTCGAATTCCGAGGTAACACTGTACTTCTTCAGAAAAAATACACATTCCAAAACTAAGAACCAAATTCTTGGTAATTGTGCTGAATAATAAATATGTTAACAATCTACCACTACTGTTTTTTTTTTAATGAGATGATAAACTCAAATAATAATCATTTAAATTCTTTCTTGCAAATTTCCAGCAGCATGTATCAGTTCATTAGCCGACACAACGCTACGTCATGACAAAAATACAACAAAATCATTTCAAGCTGTCTTCCGCTATATATCTTTTTCCAAATATCTTTTCAGCTGTCACAAGATGTTTCATTTTCATTCATCCCATAACATCCCCCCTGCCACCCCCACCCCCCCCCAAAAAAAAACCTACTTAAACATATTCAAATAAACATGTATATCACAGAACTTGCAAAACACACACCGTCCATTTTACCACATTCAAGAGCTGTATCAAATGCGTCAAGCAAAAAATGCCTGCGGGTTACTGCGTCATTCACAGAAAGTTTGTCAGATATTGTCAATAGTATTCTTGGTATGAGCTGCTTCAGGAGTGGATGTTGGTCGATTAGCCGAAGACAGCTCCGCAGTGAGAGCAGCGTCGTTGTCGCAGGGCCAGGCAGCAAAGAATTCCCAAGGGAAAGAAAAGGATGGCACACAAAACTCCGAGGCAGGTGAAGTCTTCTTCGAGAATACCCACCTGAGACACAAGGGAGACATGTTATAACACCCATCTGAGACACAAGGGAGACATGTTATAACACCCACCTAAGACACAAGGGAGACATGTTATAACACCCACCTAAGACACAAGGGAGACATGTTATAACACCCACCTGAGACACAAGGGAGACATGTTATAACACCCACCTGAGACACAAGAGAAACATGTTATAACACCCACCTGAGACACAAAGGAGACATGTTATAACACCCACCTGAGACACAAGGGAGACATGTTATAACACCCACCTGAGACACAAGAGAAACATGTTATAACACCCACCTGAGACACAAAGGAGACATGTTATAACACCCACCTGAGACACAAGGGAGACATGTTATAACACCCACCTGAGACACAAGGAAGACATGATATAACACCCACCTGAGACACAAGGGAGTCAAGTTATAACACCCACCTGAGTCACAAGGGAGACATGTTATAACACCCACCTGAGACACAAGGGAGTCAAGTTATAACACCCACCTGAGACACAAGATAAACATGTTATAACACCCACCTGAGACACAAGGGAGACATGTTATAACACCCACCTGAGACACAAGGGAGACCTGTTATAACACCCACCTGAGACACGTTATAACAGCCACCTGAGAGACAAGTGAGACATGTTATAACACCCACCTGAGACATGTTATAACACCCACCTGAGACACAAGGAAGACATGTTATAACACCCACCTGACACACAAGGGAGACAGTTATAATTGTTTTATAATACCAACCTGTGACACAAGGGAGACATGTTAGTTATAATTGTTTTATAATAACCACCTGAGACAGAAGGGAGACATGTTAGTTATTATTGTTTTATAATTACCACCTGAGACACAAAGGAGACATGTTACAACACCCACCTGAGACACAAGGGAGTCAAGTTATAACACCCACCTGAGTCACAAGGGAGACATGTTATAACACCCACCTGAGACACAAGGGAGTCAAGTTATAACACCCACCTGAGACACAAGAGAAACATGTTATAACACCCACCTGAGACACAAGGGAGACATGTTATAACACCCACCTGAGACACAAGGGAGACATGTTATAACACCCACCTGAGACACAAGGGAGACAAGTTATAACACCCACCTGAGACACAAGAGAAACATGTTATAACACCCACCTGACACACAAGGGAGACATGTTATAACACCCACCTGAGACACAAGGGAGACCTGTTATAACACCCACATGAGAGACAAGGGAGACATAACACCCACCTGAGACACGTTATAACAGCCACCTGAGAGACAAGGGAGACATGTTATAACACCCACCTGAGACATGTTATAACACCCACCTGAGACACAAGGAAGACATGTTATAACACCCACCTGAGACACAAGGGAGACAGTTATAATTGTTTTATAATACCAACCTGTGACACAAGGGAGACATGTTAGTTATAATTGTTTTATAATAACCACCTGAGACAGAAGGGAGACATGTTAGTTATTATTGTTTTATAATTACCACCTGAGACACAAGGGAGACATGTTAGTTATTATTGTTTTAAAATAACCACCCGAGAGAGAAAGAATAAATGATAGTGATGGCTGTTTTATATGTCCGTAAAGTCTGTCCAAAATGAGTTGTCTCTTGTGTTGGTTGTGTGAGATTTAAAAAAATGTGTATACTATCTGACACTGCAGTTTGTTCATCGCTGAATGTTATCTTCCCACTTGTACTGGTGTATACCTCCTGCCTTTAATGCTGGACAGTCATTTTGGTGTGTGTTGTAATCTTATTGTCCAAGAGTTAAAGTTTCTTCTAGTGGTCACAGGACAGGTGAAAAGTTCACACAGCGGCCACGGGTCGGGTCGTTACCTAGGATACCAGCTAATTGAATGCTGGGTGATTAACACAAAGGCTCCTGCAGAACACAAAGGATTCGGCAGTCAAGATATTTTCCTTGTCCAAATAGGACGTTCCTTCTTTGGAAGGGTTTGATTAACCGTACTTACGGGAGACAGTTTAATGTCTATTTATTTATTATAATGGCAGGAGTCCATTGAGAAAAGAGTGTAATTCTTTTATATTCTCAGAGTAGATAATAAAGAGTTATTATCGTACGTTTTATTGAATAATCATCATCATCTTGTGACGTGTAACTTTAATCACATTAAAGTTTATGTGGCCTGTCACAAGCGTTATTGTTGACTTGTAAAGATAGCAACTGTTTTACATGATGCTGTGTCGGTGCCAAGTGTGCCAGTTATAGAATGCAGGACTTCACTGTAGCACATCCATCAAGGAGATATCCAGCGGAATACTACAATAGGCAGCCTAGGCCTAAATACTTGGTTCTTGAAGATACAGTGTACTACAACAAATTAAGTGTACAACAGTGTGGCATAAGTAAGCAGCAGGGTCATCATGGATATAGTAACTAACACTTTCATACACAATGGCACAGCAGCCTCAGTAAACTGCATACCAGAAAATGTTCTGAGAAACAAGGGTTTTCAGATGGAAGATTCAGAAAATGGTGAATAGCATGTTACTAGAGACCTTGTGGTGCCTTATGCAACTAATCCCATGTGCAACTACTGACCTGTCCTAACTGCTGCTTCTATTGTTGATGAACTGCATAACTGGTGTTGAACAGTTTGTGTTGGCAATTCTAACTACTGACTTGTGCATTTAATGTGCGTGTATGCTGATGGATTTGCTAAGACTGCAGTCTCTGTAATTTTTTTTTTTACATAGGACGGTCATGGACATTCTGTGTGGTTTTCACTGGCACAGACAGGAACAGAGCAATGATGGGGTGATCCGTTTGCTATTTTCATTGGTACAGGAACAAATCAACTACGGAGTTACCCATTTGCTATGAAGTTGCAACTGCGATTACCTGAATGATGGTCAGCATGATACTGACAGATCACCTATTCGAGTGCATATCAGTCTATAAAATACAGCCAGCACCACATACTCATGCCTCAAGACAAGGAGGTTAAAATAAAGTTATGGACCTCTTTCAGAGAAGTGGCTTCTTGTTGATGTTTTTATCAATCCAGCGGTGCATGAGCTCTTGCCCTTTGGCCAAATGCCATGAAGTGGAACTGATATGTTTTCACAAGCTGCTCTTTCCCTCTGCACACAGTATTGCACTTGTCTGGTCTCAAAGGGAGTAGCATTCTTCTAGTCTACCAGAAGTGGCACAGCAGGGACATGATTTAGAACTCACATTTTTATAGACCAATCTGCACCCTACGGACGAAGTCGTCAACTTCACACAGAACATCTTTACCTTAAAACAGCTGGGTCGACCTGGGAACCCAGTTCAATTTTTGTCTGGCTCCGCCAGGTGTGGATTTAAACACAAGACCCTGCAGCAGACAGACAAGTGTCTAGCATCTATGTTATTGTGCTTCCTAAGACAAGACAAGAGGTCTTTTTTATTTTGCCAGGAACAATATCAAACCAAATGAAAAGCAGAGCTAGTTAGCCTCAAAGTATCACAAATAAAAATGATAAGTGAACATTGTACGGCTACATAAATTTGATCAGCTCATTACATGAATGTACAATACCATGAACAAGAATGAACACAAAAATCTCAGAGAGAAATCACATGTCTGTTGGCTTGTTGAATATCTGACATGTGTGTGACCACTACTAGATATAAAAATGAGCCAGAAAAAGCTGTGAACAAAAATATAAGGTAAAACTGTACTGGATGTAATCTAAGTGAAATAGAGCCCATTAGATAGATAAGAGAGTTTTCAAGAGAATTATGGACTGTCATTAGCGTGGCTAAACTTTATGGCCGTAACCTATATGTCAAGGACACTTTGGTGCATAAGAACTGAACTGCGCCAGAACTGGTTTGAGAGTGTGATTCTGAGCAAAAGAAAGATTTTATTTTAACTATTACTACTATCAAACACACCCACACACAAAAACCACAGACAGTAAAAAGAACTAAAGCTTAATGGTGGTTGCTCAATAGAAAGAAGAAACAAGCCTGAAGAATAAGAAGGAGAATCAACAAATCTTACCCTGCACGCTGGACAGCCTCCCACAACCACGACCGACTGTGTGGGATGTACATGAACATTTGTGTGGGTTGTGTGAGCCTGGCTGTACTGTGGAACAGCTCCTGCAGGTGGCGGATAGCCGGGCTGGGGAGGATAACCACCCTGAGGTGGATACGGTCCCGGATTGTAAGCCCCTGCTACCTTGTTGGGATCATAAGCCCCCGCTGGAGGGTATGGCATGCCTCCTTGTTGATATGGTCCTGTTTGCTGAGTGTTGACGGTTCCATATGTGGGCTGGTAGCCTGAAATTAGCAAACACATATAGTAAGTTTGCCAATAAAATAGTCAAAATATCTTAGGAAAAAGTTGGAGTTTGTCTACAAGGATATATAGTATCACTTGATCTTTTTGTAATCATTTAGTCACCAGGTCTTTTACAAAACGTTGCTCTCTTCATGACTTGCCTGAAAGTCTTTACTTCTCGAGCCAATACTCTAGCCCCCTTGCTTTTATAGCCAATGCATCTTCAATGTCCCGCATCCACCTTTGCTGTGTTTGGCCTCTGCCTCATGTTCTAGAAACTGCACCCTTCATCACTGTTCTCTCCAGACCACCATGGACAATATACCCACAGCTTTCAGGATAGGATGCTGTTATTGATGAGCCAATTCTCCTTCATGTTCAGATCTTGCAGGATGATGGCATTTTTCTTCTTCTCTGTCTACAGTATTCTAAGAATTTGTCTGTAGCATTTCAGTTTGAAAGCTCCGATTTGTTCTTCAAAGATTGAGGAAGAGTCCATGACTCACATCTATAACTTGCCATGGGAAAAATGTCTGGTCTCAAAATGTTTACTTTATCTCATCTGCTCTACCATAAGTTCTTCATGCTGTTTAGTTTCTTCATTGCTAAAGTGAGATGATCTTTTTAACACAATATTAAGAATCGCCGAACATCTTTGTCCCTATGTGGGTTCAGGGGCTTCATCTGGGGGAGGGAATAGACATGTTGCCACACAACTAGCACGACATAAATGCGACTAATTGTTTCCTTCGAAGCCAGAGTATATCCTCCTGAGTGGCACAGAACCAAGTCTGCACATAAACAAGCACAATCTGTAACAAGGATGTGCACCATCAAACTCCAGTTCTGGAACAAGACCAAAGTCAAGAAGTGGACAAACAACCAGAACTTTCAGCCGCAGTTTACAGGCAGTGAACACTAAGAAGAAAAAGAAAAAGGAACATCTTTCAGAGATATAAAAACAATGTTTTTCCATAATGAACTGAATGAAGTAATGTGGACCCCCTCAAAAAAAAATGTGATTTGTCAACACACTTCTTTGTTGTAAATCTGAACAAAGAAAACAATAGATTGCACAATTTACTGCCTGGCATATTTCGCTATAATCTCATCAGGTGCACACTTCAGTAAGAATTGACTAAAATGAAGCAAATAAATGAATCCTTCTACTGAAACACAAAATCGACAACATTCAAAAGTTACTGCCTGTTTCACCCCCGCAAATGGAGGTCAGTGACCATTTCCTTCAGCCTGCATAATTGTAGACAAACATAATTTAGAGAAATAGAAATTCAGTCTACTACAAACTAGATCAGAGAGTAAACCCTTTATAAAAGAAATACGGGCTCATAAACACTTTACTGTCATGTGACACCTCATTTGGCAGTTAGCACACTAATGTGACACGACACAGCTTGGAAAACTTTGGCATAGTCATTCAGTCACTGAGTTACAGACACACCTAATGTTATGAAGAAAAGTACTCATTGTTCACCATTTCAAGAAAATGCTGGTGCCAGGTTCGCAAAATATGAAACCAGTAATGTGGTAATCTTAGTTTCAGCTTCATAATAAATGGGTCACCCCATTGTTCCTCTGCTCTTGGGCCAACGAAAAACACACTGAATGCCCATGACTCTCACTTGTGAAAAAACTTACACAGACTGCAGTCTCAGCATATCCACTAGCATACATACGCTTTAGGCAGCCATCAGAAGTGTTAACACAAACAGTCCAACATTAAAAATGCAGTTCATCGATGGAAGCAGCAGTAGCAAACAGATAAGAAGTTGCACACATTATCATCATCATATGCCCTGCCAACTGGCGTAGGCACTCATGCGTCTCCAGAGATCACGATCCCTGGTTGCCTGGAACAGCTCTCTTGATGATATTCCTCAATGCCATCGTTTCAGCCCATTTAGCATCAACTCTCTTGGTCTGCCTCTACCCCTTTTTCCACTGATATTTCCAGTTGTCACAATGTTCTCCAGTGTCTCTCTTCTCATTATGTGGCCAAAGAACAGTGTTTGTCTCTTTCTTATTGTTGTATACAGAGATCTACTTTCATTAGCTTCTTTCAAGCGATCGTTAATTGCACACATGATCAATTTTAATCACAGAAGACACCATCAATTATGTGGCAACAGGCCACGTACCATTTTTTTTTAAAATCTACAGTTCACAACACCACTTTGGTCACCGTAAAAAAATATTCTAAGCGAAATCCACAGCTCACAGCGTCTCACTCATCTCAGTAGCTGAGCAGTTACCATATTGTCTATTTGAACGGAAGCTGCTATATATGAAAACTTAATTCTTTTGTCAACCTATCTAATTATATTTTATAAAAAAAGAGGTAACATCAGGATGAGGGAAAGGGTGTGTTCTTTCACCTTTACTTTTGATAATATATTCATGGACAATATTAATAGAACAGACATAACACCACCAGATGTTAATAAACAGGAGGACTCTAATGAGCTGCTCTTTGCCGACAATCAGTGCTTATTTCGCAGTGAAAGTAAACAGCTGCCAGACCACACAGACCAATTACACGACAAGTGTCTTAAACATTACATGAAGACATACTGAAAAAAACAGGAGTCATGAGAATAAGTAGAGCAACAAACCATGGACATAAAGATCAAAGTCTGAAACAAGCACAAGAATTTAAATACTTGGGAAGCATCGTTACATACAATGGTAAAATAGACAGAGATAGAAACCAACTTGCTCTAAATTTAAAACACCCTGCTTTCCCAATATAGACAAAAAGACAAATTATAAATACAATATACCAAATTTAGGTTACCAGTGTCAGAACTGAACATTGAAGAAAGAACATGAGAGAAAACTTAACAACTTGTGAGATAAGATGTTTAAAAATGGCTGTGAATAAAACCAGAAGACATCAAGTGAGAAATGTGATTACAAGAACTGTTGGAACAACACCCATCATCAAATTTATTGATAAATAAAGAATGAAATGGTTTGATCATCTAATGAGAATGAAATCAACGATGCCAGTAGCAAGAGTGTACAACCTGAAAATCAAAACATAAAGAAGCGGGAGAAGACCGAAGAAGATGGATTGAAGGAGTCACTGACACCTTGAGACTGCATAATATCATAGCTTATCAAGCGACTAAGCGCGCCCTGGCTTGGCTGCCGATCGGATGATGAACTGTGACACTAAGCGGCATAAGCAGATATTGATAAAAGACAGAAAGAAAGAGAACTTGTATTTTGTCAATTTTACAATGACAAAAACTGGATAGATCAACTTTATGACCAAAGAACAGAAATAATTATTATATATTCTGCTGTACTCACCTGGGTAACCTTGATTCTGTTGTACACTCTCGCTATAGCTGGGTGGCGCAGATGGTTGAGCAGCCATACTGATTTAAACCTGCAAGAGTATGCATGAGAATAATGCATTAAAACAATCGGTTGGTTACAAAAATAGCTTTATCAGATCCCCTGAACATGGCCATCACACAAATTTGTGATTGAGGCCATATCTTTGACTAACTTGTAGCACGAATGCTTTGTTTGGATATTATTTTGTAACAGTTAGCAATGTGGACAGAGACAGCATTTTTCCTATTCATGCTTTTAAAGTGATTGCATGAGCATGCTTAAGAAGATAGAGACAGAGGGCATTTTAAAAACTGGCTGGAATCACTAAAGAACTCTCATCTGATAGGAATCAATTTCATTTTTGTGCCAGGACACTCTGGAGTAAGAGGGAATGAACAAGCGGACTGGCTTGCTGGCAGGGCCGTGGTAGGTACAGGAAAAGCAATGGACCAGGCCAATATCACTGCTCTTAAGGAGGCAGGATGAGAAGATGATTTAGGAGACGACAGTGAGTCTGCAACGTTCAAAAGACTACAAGAACTTCAAGTCATAAAAAAGTGTGGCCAAACATGAACACTATACAGATAGCCGAATGGGAACAGAAAACCAACACAACATTGGTATTATCAGTCGCTGCACACTGGGAGATACAATGAAGATGAATAATCTGGTGATTAAATAACAAACTAACAGTTAGAAGTCCATGTCGTCTTGAAGACACTGCACCATCAACCCCAGCATGCATTGGCTGTTGTGTGGTTGCAGTGGGAAGTTTCACATTCAGTAGCTTGCCACACGATTGCTGAAATTAACAAATAAGCATAACTGGGAGGGACAACACACACACAGACAAGAAAAATCAGACACTTTGGCAGGAGCCTTTATCCGCAAAAACTACAACAACAAAAATGGGCAGAGTTTCTATCCTGGCCACCAGTCCCCACACTGGGGGAAGGGGGAGAGGGCAGGTAAATAACTATAAAATTCAGAAACAGGACAAGATAATGCCGAGTGAATCAAATAAATGAAGAAACAGGAAAATAAATAATAATAATAATTGTAAAAATAAAATGGGAGTAACAATCACAGTAATAGTAGAAATAATACTTTCACTCTCACTCCTGCATTCTCCCTAATTTCCCTCCAAATTTAGTAATATATAAATAATTAAAAAAACGCCAAAAAAAAATAAAAAATAATAGAGAAACTTTTGGAACACTATAACAAAGCACAATTTTTTTGGGGGGTCAAGAAAAATAACGAGGGGAAAATAATTAGAATTTTAACAAAAAACTAACTTTATATAACACTCAATCTGCCCCTAATTTTACAGCCTATGTTCCCAAATAAAATGGGAATAGCACTAGATTTAACTGACACTGAAGAAAATCATATTTTCCCATAACATTTTTTGTTCTTCATGCCAGCTGACTTTGCTATAATTTTGCCTCATCAAAGTTTGACTTTATAAATGACTGAAACAAATCAACTTGGCTACATTCTTTGCCTAGCCTTGAATCTTCTTTTGTTAAAATCTGCTTGTGCCGCTATGCATCGCAGTCTATCAGATGATCGGCAACCGAGCCAGGGCGCGCTCAGTCGCTTCATATGCCGTGATGTTATGAAGTCTCAAGTTGTCCGTGACTCCTTCAATCCATCTTCTTCTTGGTCTTCCCCTGCCTCTTGGTGTTTCGATTTTCATGTTGTATGCTCTTGATGCTGGCATCGTTGGTTCCATTCTCATTAGGTGACCAAACCATTTCATTCTTTGCTTCTCAATAAATTTAACGATGGGTATGGTTCCAATAGTTCTTGTAATCACATCGTTTCTCACTCGATCTCTTCTGGTTTTATTCACAGCCATTCTCAAACATCTCATTTCACAGGTGGTTAGTCTTCTCTCGTGTTCTTTTGTTAATGTCCAAGTCTGACATTGATAACCTAATGTCGGTATAAAGATTGTATTTATAATTTGTCTTTTTATCTCAGCTGGGACAGCAGGGTGTTTTAAAATTGGGGCAAGCTGGTATGCGACATTGTTGGCTTGTTGGATTCTTGCTCCGATCTCTCTGTCTATTTTACCATTGGATGTAAAGATACTTCCCAAGTATTTAAATTCTTGCACTTGTTTTAGGCTGTGATCTAGAATCTTTATGTCGATGGTCTGTTGCTCTCTACTTATGCTCATGACTTCTGTCTTTTCAGTATTGATCTTCATATGATGCTTGAGGCAACTGTCGTGTAGTAGGTTTATGTGGTCTTGCAGCTGTTTACTATCACTGTGAAATATGCATTGATCGTCGGCAAAGAGCAGCTCATTGAAGTCCTCCTGTTTATCGACATCTGTTGGTGTTATGTCTATTTTATTAATATTGTCCATAAATATTATGAAAAGTAAAGGTGATAATACACAACCTTGTCCTACTCCTGATGTTACTGGGAACCAGTCTGCGATAGCCTTGAATAAATCTGATAAACCTGTGTTTTAAATATGAGGCTTCAAAAGCCATTAATTTTGTTGGCATGCATAAAGAAGTCTACCCAGAGGCCAAACTGTTTTCAAACAGACACTTAGTAACTTGGTAAAGCTCTCAAATATGCTATATTTTATGCTTTTTAACCAGGTTTCTGAATAAACCTTATGGTCAACACGTGCATTATTGAACACAAATAACACAAAATACCACTGAAAACTACCGCTGTACTTTTTATACTGGTTAGTGGTAAATAAAAATAGGTAAAGTCGGGAGATGTAAACCAGAGCCATTGCACACGGTTATAAACCATAAGTGCTCTGCCACCAGTACGGACAGCTAGCTAAAAAGAAACTGTCTGCCTGTGTCGCCGTCCGCACGCAACTCTGTAGCTACAGCGAGGTTCCTCCATTTACCCCAGAGTGTGAACTCAGGTACCCATTTCCTAAAGGCTGGGTGAACCCCGGGAACCACCCGGTTTCGAACATCGACCGTGGCTGCAGCGAGTTGCAGCTGGATTTGAAAGCAAGCCTCCTATCAACTGCGCTAACGCGGCCCCGCTGTAATGACAGTGACAAACATAAACAACTATTTAGAAAAACATAAACATGAAACAGTGTTCCAAAGTTAGTATAACTTTTTTTTTTTTTTTTTAAATCTTATATAGTTTTAGCAATTACAAACTTTAAAATTTTGGTTTGTAATAAACAATAGATAAGCTGCCCAGCTTTGAAGAGTTACCAATAACAACATATTTCCTACATCAGCAATTACAAAACACAAATAAAATTAATGTACCACAGTAAAAATTTACTTCAATTTGCTGAATCAAAATCTGATCTCAGTAAAACATGAGTTTAAATCAGAGTATTTCATGTCTGATGTTATTTTCTGAGGGTGCATCCTGTATTTAGATGCGTTCTGTATTTGGATGCGTTCTGTATTTGGATGCGTTCTGTATTTGGATGCATTCAGTAAGAGCAGTTGTTCATTCATCAGATCAGGTAGTTAAAAAATAACTGGTAAAGTCATAAATTCCCCATATTTATTTTCCCCAACTTGGTCCTAGAGAAAATAATACTTGTTACTTGCTGTCTGTATCGACATTCTAGCTCATCAGTCCAACCCAGTCGTGCTCCACCCTCAGATTCAGAAACCATCTCAGTGTCTCTCCATGCTCCACGTACCCAGTATGATTTGATTGGCATATCTCCTTTCTGTGCCCCACAACTAGTTTCTGCATTCTTGTTCTCATTTAATACCTATTTCCAACAGGCAGATCATCATCTCTGACTCCTTCATCTCAAAGTCTCTAGAACAAAGAACATTCAGTAGTTCTGTGGGAGATGGATCATCCATAAGTGTGCCAACTGCTGTGATTCTTATATCAGCAATGATAATGTGATACAAAGTTGGGATTTCTCAACTGTTGTTTTCATATGGAGGCTATCCTCCGAATAATGATCCTAAATTATCTACGCAGAAAATGAACCCTAACCGAGCCTTATTATGTCATGCCCTACAAAGATTTAAAAGTTGTAACTCAGAAAATATAAGGAATGAAAAGTATGAGGAAAAGGGGAAAGTCTACTACCTACCGATAATTAAATCCTTTATACATGAAAATTGTGGCACTATAGCATGATCGTAAATGCCATGTTTTAATTCCCCAATGTTGCTGTAGCCTTGCCAAGCGTCAGTCACAATTCTCGTTCCGGGCAACACGTGATCAGCTATGACACGTTCTAATATACGCGCATCTCGCCTCGGGACAACTTCAAACCAGCAGCAGCCACTATGGCGCTCCACTAGTCTGATCACCCAGTAACCGTGGCGAATGCGACCACGCTGGTACTTGCGATGGAAGAAGTAGCTCATGTATATTGTAAGACCTTTTTCTGGCAACTATAGTGCCATCTCCGAGAGTATCCACCACGCCGCTACGCGCGGCGCAGAAGGGGCTAAACTAGATGGCTAGGACTCACGAACAAATACAATGGAGGAAACTGCAGGAGAAGCAGTAGCTGCTGCTCGTGAGTCCCAGCCATCTAGTAGCGTAGCGGCGTGGGGGATACTCTCGGAGGTGGCACTATAGTCGCCGGAAAGTGGTCCGCAACTTACATTTAACTGAGGCCCTGCCGTGGATAGCCCTATCGGGTGTATTCTTGCATTTTGCAAATTTTTCGTCCGTAGTTAATCCTAGTTTTGCCGCGGTTTAATCGTCGCTAAAAAAAATCTGTTGCGTTTCGCGAAAATATCGTGCGCAATTAATCCTACTTTTGGCGCGGTTGATTCGCCGCAAAAGAAATGCAAATTTTAGATATGACTGAGGCTCTGTTAGGGTTCATTTTCTGCGCAGATAATTTAGGACCATTATTCGGAGGATAACCCATATGAATTCGGTGTCTTTTTTCTCATATGCTCAGCTCTCAAGCTTTCTGCAATAATTTCTTCCTCCACTCTCATTCCCCTACTGATGTACCATGCAACATGGTCCATGCCATTTGGTTCCACTAGTCCACCTAGGTGAATATTCAACCAAACATGATGACAGGTTTTTTTT